TGTTGTCTGCTGTATGTTGCTGAGTCGCAAACGACTTGAAAGCACATAACAACAACCACCACCACCCAGGAACATGATGTTGTTGTTAAGTGCTGTCAAGTCGACCCTGACTCAAAGCAACCCTATGAATGGCAGCCCTATCTGATCTGAACGCTGTCCTATCCTCTGCCATCCTCATCTTCTCTGCTACACCTAGTCCACCAAGGCAGCCACTGTGTCAAACTATCTAGTTGAGAGTCTCCCCCTCCTTTGCTGACTCTCCACTTTACTGAGCATGATGTCCTTTCCAAGGACTGGTCCCTCCTTTCAACAAGCCTGAAGTATATGCAAGATGAAGTGTTACCACCTTTCCCTCTAAGAACTACCCTGACTGCATATAGTTGTTCTCTTGGCCATTCATGGAACATATGGTACGTACTTAATGCTTGTTGAATGACTAAATGTTACACTGAGAAAGGCTGAGTTCCCACCTCTTCTGGGAAGCCTTCCCCCAAAACTTCACCCATTTATTAGCTGATGAATTTAAAGAGTACCAAAGGAAAGTAAAAACCTTTGACTCTCACTCTTGCAGGGTCATCAATTCACAGTCATCTTGGGCAAACCAGTTAATTCATCAGTTGTGAAATCAGGCTAGCATCTCTTGGACCTAGTTTGCTAGGTGGTTAAAGGCTCAAATGAGATAATGGAAAAGAAAGTGCTGTAAGAAGCACAGAACTGCATACATACAAGGGGTCCTCCTTATTTTGGTTATGTGAATACTTTATTAAATAGAGATCTCTTACTTGGTATTCTAACTATAATAACAGAGCACCCACATGATAGAAACATTGTGAAGAGCTACAGTAGCTCTCATAAAACTCACTCCTTAATTTCCATATATCTGTCATTTGTAACAGAATCCTTCAGGTAATCACTCAGTGCATTTCACATTCTACTCAAAATTCTAGTGAGCTTACTTCTGTCTTCCCAAAAGTAAAGACTGACAGCAAAATTTAGGGGAGAATGAAGGTTAACTAGACTCAAGAATTCAAGAAATCAGGAAAGTATGGGGCAAACAATGCTAATAGTATGAAAATATCTCAGTCACAAAAAGGACAAATATTGCATAGGGCCACTGTTGTAAAATAGGACTGACATCAGGGTTGAGGGAAGACAGAAAAGGAGGGGAGGAATGATGTCTATTTAATTGAAACAGATGAAGGAGAGAACTGTTTAAAAGGGATATATGAATGGGTATTTTTGTCATTATAGAAGTCCAGAGTGAAGGCTGCACAGTGGAGTGGACTTGGGGGCGGGGTGGGAGGGATTGTACAACAATGAAAGAGTTTTTCTTTCTTTTCAAGGAGAAGAGTGAATTGGGGAGAAGGGGGTGGGCAGGGAGAAAAGTGCAACAATGAATGACTGGAAAGCCTAATTCTCTGTAAACTTTCATTAAAATTAATTTTTTAAAAAAAGATATAGAAACAAACATCCAAAAGAGTTTGCACATGCATTGGCACTGTTGGTATGTTCTATATTTTTAAAAGCAAGAAAAGGTGTAATAGATTTTACAAAGATTTCTATACTAAAAGATGTTACCACAGATAGTAAGAAGCACTGGTCACATACCCCCTTCACTTTGCTTAAGGTCAAATTTTCAGGCCATCTACAATTTAGAGAACTTATGGTTTGAATATAAGTCTTCTAATTTTCCTCCTCTTGGTTTTGACATTCTTCTTTAATTTATTTTTCCCCTCTTGGTTCATATTTTTTTCAGTTTATTATTTACACTATGCTATTTTATTGTTTTTCTTGTAAACCACCTCGGGATTTTTGTGGAACAAAAGAGAAATATAAATAGATCATGGCATGCAACATGTATGTAGCTTAATGCTTTGTAAAAGTAAACATCTAACAAAAAGGTACTATCTACAGAGAAAAAAATTATACTGTTAGATAAATAGGAGATGATATTTTATTATTATCTTTATCATCTCCTAATTGTTTTCTTAGATACAATAATGTTGTTGTTGTTGTTGTTGTTGTTGTTGTTGTTGTTATGTGCCATCAAGTCATTTGCAACTCATAGCGACCCCATGTACAACAGCTCTGAACCTTGGTCTATCCTGAGCCAATCTTACTGTTTCCAACACACCTACCCCCTTTACTCCCGTCACTGAGTCAATCCATCTCATCAAGGATATTCCCCTCCTGTGCTGCCCTTTACTCTCCCAAGCCTAATGTCCCTCTCCAAGGACTGGTCCCTCCTTGCAACATGCCTAAAGAAAGAAGATAAAGTTTGTAACTTGTTAACAAGAGTATTAACCTTATAGATTCAAATAACTCACTGCCATTCTGCTGGTTCTGACTCAGTGACCCTCCATCAGGTTTTTGAGACTATACATCTTGATGAGAAGCAAATATACTCTTTCTCTGATGGAGTAACTAGTAGGTTTGAACCACCAGAGAAATGTAGCCTTTGGGTAAGCAGTGCAACCACATGCAGACTATTTCATGAGGGTAAATTTAGCAAATCTCATAAAGATTGAGATAATACAAGGAAACACTTCACCGACTGTTAACATATTTGTAAACTGCAGGATGAAGGAGCACATAGAGAAGCAGGTCCCAATTGAACAAAGCTTAGGTACAGAGATAAGAATGGGGAGAAAGGGCTCCAGGACCAGGTGTTTTTATAAAAGCCCAAATTTTCTAATTACATAACTGAGCCAGTCTCTAAGGCCAGACGACGCTAAGACGGAATAAGTCTAACTCAATAATACTTAATATACAGGGCTATATGCTAGAAGTTAGGGTTCTGCTGAGATTGAATTGTTCAAGAGTTCGAGTCATTGCGACTTTTAGAAAAGAATTATACAAAAAGAACCCTCTCTTGACAATCTCCCCAAGTACTGCTCAATTTCCTTCTACCCACAGCCAAACCTCTTACAAAGGTGGCCTAGCTCTGTAGTCTCTACTCACCTCTCATTCCTCCTCCCACTGCAAGCCAATCTTCCCTGAAGGTACCCAAAGCACTCTTGTAAACGGTTCTCATCCAGGTCACCAGTGATCTATAAGCCTCAAATCCAATGTAAGTGTGTGGGAAGGTCCCGTAGTGTTAACACCTGGCTGTCATTGTAACCAAGAGTAAAACGGTTGCTCTAAGTGAGGGCTGTATACTGTTCAGCAGACTTGACCATGCTTTTGCCATAATGGCACCAGGCTCGAGACAAATCACACAACGGGAAAGATTTTGTTCTATTTTAAAAAACTATAATAGATTTAGAATTTTATAGCAAAATTAATCCATCCAAAGAGACAATCATTATATGGCGAGTCAATTCTGACTCCCAGCCCCCTGTAGGATGTCCTGCCCTACAGGATTGAGTAGGGGGAACCGCCACAGAGTTTCCAAGGCTGTCATCTTTACAGAAGCAGACTGCCAATCTTTCTTCCTCAGGCCGCTACTAGTTTTGAACTGCTAACCTTTTGGCGATCAGCAGTGTCCTTAACTACTATACCTCCAGGGCTCCTGAAACACACTCCTGCATAATTATCCCTTTGTGTGATCATGCGTTATTCTAAAGATACTATCACTGGATAAAATCTAAGGAGCTCTGGTGGCGTAGTGTGTGAGCAGTCAGGCTGCTTTTCAGCACAATCAGGCAGTTTCTGTAAAGATTTACAACCTCAGGAGCCAAGGTATGGTGGTCATGAGTTGAATCAACTCCAGGGAAGAGGTTTGGGTTTGGTTTGAAACCTGTTGTGATTCTGTCTTTAATACTTCTCCCTAGGTATTAGGCAGCTCATGAAGCCTCACAACAAATTCTCAAATATTTGCTCTTGTCATCATCATTATTATTCCTCAGCTTGATTGCCTACTTTATTCCCTAGACTTGACATGAAACAACGTTGGAGTCTTTTCCATACTGCTTCCCTTAGAGTGCAAAGATTTGCCACCACAGAACTTGGCTGAAAGACTGTATTTGAAAGGCAGCTTCTCCAAGCGTTTCAAAAACCCTTCTGAGTGACGGCAGCACCTCTGGAATGAGAGCTGAATCTGCCAGGGTGAATATACGATGTGGTGACAGACAATTGCTTGTGTGGCTAAGTCCTGGTATGTGATTCACAAGAACAGTCTCACATTTTCACTTCTGCCACAGCAGTCATCTCTTGTACAACCATCCAAGCTATAGGCTCTCATGTGCTGAAGTTCTTGCTTCAAACACATTGTTGTTGTTGTTGTTTACCATCAAGTTGGAACTGATCCATAGCTGACCCTCCAGCAGGTTTTTCAGAAGGAGTAAATCGCACAGGAGGAGATTATCCATCTTTCTCCCACAAAGAAGCTGGTGGATTCGAACCACATCCCTTTGGGTTGGCAGCACAGCTCTTTACCACTAAGCCAACAGAATCCCTTAATATTCTCTCCAAATACTCACATTTTAAAAACAAACCACAAGGCCAAGCTGGTTCAGCCAGATTGTGGTGACAAGAATGCTGAGCTTCAAAGCAACACATTCAGACTATAGCATCACCCACAGTGTGACCTCAAAAAGGCTTTCTGGCTGTCAGTTCATTCATATATACAAACACAGGGGACTGGATGAAAGGCCTTCTAATGTAACTTTTTGCAAAATGAAATGAAAGCTCACCTTGTTTGAGGCAGCTAGCTACTGCAAAGCTTTTGGAGATCCTGAGTAGAAGTGCTGCTGAATTAATGGGGTAGGGAGGAAGGGAACAGGTAGCTCGAGGAAGGAAGAGAAAAGGTGAGAAGCCAGGGGTAAAGGTGCAGAGCAGCTCCAGCAGCCTGGGAGGCAGCTCATTGCACCCCCAGGAATGGAGATCCTTTACTCTGGGAGGACAGAGGACTTTTCCCAGACTAAGCTAAAGCAGCTGCCACCATGTGTGGTGTTTGTGTTGTTCTTTGCTGCCCACCAACTGAGCTGTAGGAAGGACATCCCTGAAGCCCTTGGTGTTCCAGCAACACTCAGCCTGGGGATGGGGGAAGGGGTCCTTACCCATTGTGTTGGCTCGGGAACAGGTCGTTCGCTTCAGAATCTCGTGCACCTAAAACGGGACGACAGCAGAGCCGTGAACGCCTTGACCACCTTGCGTCACAGCAGCCTGTGGGGTGGCGGGCTGCGGATGGGAGGCCCCTGGACCCATTTTGAGTGAGGGGGAAGCCAAGCATGTGCCAAGCTCATGTACTACATGTCAAACCCATTCAAACTTGAGGGCTGTGAGGAAACAAAGAATTTAGCCCCCTCTCACACATCCCCTCCTCCTTCACCACCCTGGAAAATTAATAAATAAAAGACTAAATTGCCTACAGTTACCGGAGATTAAAACACACCAGGCAAACCCACACCCCCTAGCCCTCTTGAGGGCTAAGGTGGAAGTGTGAGAGTGTGGGCAGAAAACAATGTGCCGCTTCCATGTGGGGAACTTCAGGGTAGGCAAAGGCCTCGTCAGCAAGGTGCTAGCCGACTAGACAGAGGCATGCTGCCTCCCTTAGTCTGCATTCCTGCCCGCTGGACAGCCCTATGGCAGGCTGGAGAAGCAGAAGATGCAGAGGCAGACAAGTCAGGTACGAGCCTTGCTTACTAGCAGTGGGGCCCTGTCAAACTTTCTGCAGCCCATTTCCTTATGTGATAAAGCTGGCGCAGAGCTGCTTTGAAGAAGCAATAAGACAATGAACTTGACAGTGACTTGTTACTGGAAAAGGACTGCTTGTTTGTTGATTGTTGACGTTATTACTACTATTACTACTCCTCTGTTCTTTCCCTAGTCTTACCTCCCCAATCAAAGCAAGTCTTATACTTCCCCTGAGACCTCTTGGCTGGGGCCCAGTACTGGACACAAGGTAGGTTCTAAGACTACCCCATTCCTACAGGCCCACATGCCTCAAAGGGCCTCCAAAACGCCACTGTACATCTCCATTACTGTGGCTCTTCTGGGTACTCTGCCTGTCACACAAGAGGTAAGAAATATGAGGGCACTCTTGGCAGAAGTAACCGGAACACAGGAGAGTCCCTGGACACTTGCTGGCCAACTAATGGCCTCCTGGTAGATCTTAAGAAGATTTCTACCTTGTGTTAGACAACAAGGAGGTCTGCTCTGGATAAGCAGCTGGACTGCTCAGAGGTCCACAAAGCAGGGACACAGGGAGGACATTCACAGATGCCCTCAGGTAAAAGTCCAGAGCAGAGTCAAAAGCCCTCAGTGAGCACAGGCTGTGAAAAGGGTATGAGAGGAAAGAAGAAGCTTCTAGAAGGAAAGCTGAATGAGAGAAGATGTGTTACTCCATCGCCATTCACACTTCTTTATTCCAGCCACAGACCTACAGGGAGTGGTGAATAAATAACTTCCAGCAGAATGGGGCCCAAAGTGTTTAATTCAGCATATAATACAGTGCAGTAATTCAACAGCAAAAATAATTAGGAACAGCATTTATATGGCATTATATTCTTTTACAAGCACTTTGTAATTATCAGCTAATCTCCACAACATCCCCTCAGACGTGGAACTCAAGCCATGGCAAAATATGAATGGCTTATAATAGCATCAACCAAGAAAATTGGGAATGTATACTTTTTTTTTATGGGAAGAGAAAATAAATCATTTGGCTATTTTAAACCTCCCTAAAATGCCAGGCTAGAGGACTAGGGGAGCCCTTTTGAGTGAAGAGTGAAGGCTGTGTGTTCGGTGTACCTGAGAAATGCTCTACAGAACCCCCTACTCTCTTCCCCTTACTAAGCATCCTTCTTATCACCCTTGTGGCTTGGAATTCCCTCTAATTTTCAAACCCTCATTCTTCTTTCTGTAGAAATTTAAGTGCTTTCCTAGATGATGGAAATATACACCCATGTTTCCCCACTAAAGGCATGGTTACGTTTCCAATACTCCTTGGGCCTCTCTTTGTTCCCTCTCTCCATAGGTGGAATGACCTCTAAAACAGCAAAAAATAATCTTTGAAGGGAGATATCATACACCTCCAACTGGGATCCCAGAGGCAGTCTATAAATTCTTTTCATTATAATCAATAATAATAATTTTAAAAAACCCAAAACAAACCGCCAACTCATTGCTGTTAAGCTGTAACTGACTTGGAGCTGATCCTTCAGCAGCAGTTTTGGAGGCTGTAAATGGCTCAGGAGGAGACTGCCCATTTTCCCCCTCTGAGGCGCCACTGATGGATTTGAACCATTAGAGAAGGATGACCTTTGGATTGGTTTGCTGTGCAACTCGCTATGGGCTGTGCCACCGAGCTCCCCTTAGACTCAGTCGTCCCATAAAATTAAAAACAAAACAAAACAAAAAACCCCCACCACCTAACTTTAAGTCATAGCTTAAGATTTTGGAGGAGGGCTGTAATAGTGGATTTTGGCTCGCAAGTGTTTTGTTTTTTTAATTCTCAGATAAATTGGTGAGCATGGACTGTGATAAAAATGTACATGGTTCCTTTGTGGGGTTGGGTCAGGGGGTGTAAAAGAAAAAAATTGAATGAGAAATCCAAGTGGTCCAACAATCAGTAGGACTAGTTCTAATCCTCATTCAGATTCTAATAGTCTATTTGAATATTGTCAGTTCATTGCTTCTCAGAGTCTTAGTTTTCCTCAACTGGAAGCCAAAGGAGGTTTATCTGTTGGGTGTAAAGTTCTCACAAGTGCTCACATTCCCTGTGTTTGTGATTCTAAGAAGAGATTTAGTGGGAAAGCCATAAAGGGAAGATACTGGGATCAGGCAGCTCTTGGATAGTCTTTCAGTTGCTAGGCAACTCCAAGGCAGGCCATGAGAACACCTTGCCAGACTAGGTACACAGCCTTTCCCCACACTCTTCCCTAGCCCACCAAACTCATTTACTTACAATGCGGCTACGAGTGGCATTATCAAAGAAGGTATCCTTATCATGGATGTTGTACCTGCAGATACCAAGAAAGCAAATGGTAAGTTTTTTCCAATAGTCTTTTCCTAAAACTTCTAGCATGCCACTCCCACAGGGAACCCAGAAACACCAAAGAGTGTTATTTTTGTGACACAATAAAACCTGTGGTTTAGAGCTCACTGCAGTGCTAAAGGTAATCCAAGAGTTCTATTGAAGAATCCTGTTTTAGTATGGCACAATTTCAGAAGATAATTAGATATTTAATTGTTTATAGAGTCACAGGGTCCTCTACATGTTTTAAAAACACTTGCGATGAGAACAGTTGGGGGGGCATGTAATGTCTAAATATTCCTTGAATTTCATCCAATTTTTAGCATCGTGAGAACTTATTCCTTATGCTTTAAAGAGATAGCTTCAGTAAAAGTCTATATTAACCACCAAACAAAATAAAAAATGCAGGTAAAGCCTCAAAATGGTTGTTGATCATGGTTATAAATATAATTATTCCTACTTCTGGGTGTCTGGGGAAAATGTTTACCTACTGGATCTAGAGTTTAATGTACAAATATATTTAAATTAAAATTAAATAAATTAAAAATATATTTAAATTTATATTTTAAAAATTCATGGTAGCCAGTGTTGCAAAGATCTGGTGAACCTCACACAAGCATCACTGGTGACTGCGTAAACTGGTACAAGTGGAAATGATCATAGCAAGATACATAAGATAATAGATTCATAATGTTTATACTCAGATAAAATAATTTAAGGATAATTTATCCAAAAAATTATCATCAAGGTAAATTCAACAGAAGGAAAATTGCACATAAATAAAAAT